CAATCCACCTGCTTCAGCCTCCCAGAGTGATAGGATTATAGGTACGAGTGACCGCACCCAGCCAGGCCAGTGATTTTCAACCTGTGTGCCATGAGAGGATCTTAGGTGTACCTCAAAAAGTTTTTAAAGATCATTAATTAAATTATTTTGGAAAGAAGTTCAAAGTACAGTAAGTATATTCTGTTTTTCTTTTTACCTTTTTTTTAAACATTTAAGTGTGCCTGGGAAGTTTAACTATAGGTTCAAGTGTGCTGTGACATAGAAAAGGTTGAAAAACACTGCTCTAGACTATAGCCCACACAGCAGAGCAAGACCTTGTCTAAAAAAAAAAAAAAATTCAAACAGAAGGGTATAACGTGAAAAGTAAAATATTTTTCTTCCCCCTTCACACATACTGTCCCATTCCTCAGGGATATAACTGCTCTTAACAGTTTCCTTTCTATCCTAGAAATATTCTATGCATATACATATGGTATGCATATGTAATCATACGAGAAATTGCCTTTTTCACTCAACAAAACATTCTGGACACCCTTCCTTGTCACAAAATATGGATATATACCCTGTTCTTTTAGACTCTTGATGAATATTTCACGGGCTGGTTTGACAGTCGGTCTTTAACTAGCCTTCTCTTGAGAGACCTGTGAGCTGATTCCAGTCTTCTGCTGGTATAAATAATGCTGCAACAGACATCCTTGTCCATATGTATTTGAGCCTACGTGCAAGTGCTTCTCTAGAAATGGTGTTCAATGTAAAATTTCTGGGCTGAGAGGTAGACGCATTAAAATTTGGGGGTGGATATTGCCAAGTATCCTCCTGAAAAGGCAGAAGCTTTTTCACACCTGTCATATGACAGCAGCCATACGACAGAAGCCTTCTCCCCATGAATTCACCATCATTAGGTACTTTTCTCATCCCTGATAATGTGAAAGGTGAAAGAGTCTATCTTGTTGCTATTTTAATTTGCACTTAATCTGCATATTGAAAGAGGCTGAACATCTCTTTATGTGTTTAATGACCATTATACTTCTGTATCCTTTGCCCATGTTTGCCAAAAATCCATCATACATTAAGTGGATTTTCAAAATATGTGGAATTTTTGTATAAGTGGAAGAGCACCAATCCCTGGAATTATTCCCTCTCAGGCCAGGCAGTCACTGGATGGAGATGTTCTGGAGAGATTTTCATCTACTGGGGAGCTGAAACCTATAACCTTGACATTTCAGATAATTTTTAAGACCTTCCTGAATTTGTGGCTGGGCATGGTGGCTCATGCCTGTAATCCCAACACTCTGTGAAGCCAAGGCAGGAGTAGGGTCCCTTGAGTTCTGGAGTGTGAAACCAGCCTGAGCAAAGCAAGACTCCTGTCTCTACTAAAAATAGAAAAATTAGTCAGGCATGCATGGTGATATGATGCATGCCTGTAGTCCCAGCTACTCGGGAGGCTGAAGTAGGAGGATCACTTGAGCCCAGGAGTTTGAGGTTGCTGTGAGCTGGGCTGATGCCATGGCTCTCTTGTAGTCCAGGTAGGAGAGCAGACTCTGTCTTTAAAAAAAAAAAAAAAAAGCTTCCTGAATTCTTTTTTTTTTTTTTGAGACAGAGCCTCAAGCTGTCCCCCTGGGTAGAGTGCTATGGCATCACAGCTCACAGCAACCTCCAACTCCTGGGCTCAAGCGAGTCTCTTGCCTCAGCCTCCCAAGTAGCTGGGACCACAGCTACTTGCACAGCTACCGGCTATTTTTTGGTTGCAGCTGTCATTGTTGCTTGGCGGGCCCGGGCTGGATTCGAACCTGCCACCTTAGGTGTATGTGGCTGGCACCTTAGCCACTTGAGCCACAGGTGCCGAGCCAGCTTCCTGAATTCTAATGTGTTGTAATTTTTCTACACATCGCTACATTGGTTTTGTGGGCAAATAATTATTTTTGAAGGTGGTTCTGGGATGACTATTTTATTCTTCTCTGATTTTTGCAGCTTATAATTGTGCTTTTAAAATTTCCATCTTACATGGGTTTGACTTGTTATGAGGAATTTTACCCATTTTTTGTGACTCCTATAGATTGTGAACTGTATCAGGACTCTGTGGAGTGCAGTTCCTAAGGACTCCAACCCATATTGACTTTACATCAGATGTGAACAGGCAACACACAGGAGAAAAAAGCATATGAAAATTCCCCCCTAGAGTAAAAGGGGAATTTATTGGTTTACATAGCTGAAAACTTCAGAGGGTATGCAGCTTTAGGAATTGCTGGATTAGCTACTCAAATTATGTCCACAGGAATCTGTCTGTCTCCATTTCTGAGCCCTGCTTTCTTCTTTATTGGCCTCATTGTCAGGCAGTCTCTTCCCTGGTGGTGGCAAAATGGCGCCCAGGAGCCTAGGACTATATTTTACCAGCTTAGGAACCCAGGGGGAAAGCACACACACTTTTCGTGTAAAAGTGGTAAGTGTTTTCATTGGTGCAGCTTGGGTCACATGACCATCTCTCATCCAATCCCAGGTCGCCAGAGTGATTTCAATGTTGTGATTGGCCAAGCCAGGATCATGCGACCACTTTTGGAAATCTGCGTTTCCTTATTCCCTCAGAAAGCTCAAGATGGGAGATTGAAATTTGACGTTCTTGGAAAGTAGGGGTAGATGTTGGGCGGGCAAAACTAACGACTGTGTTCTATGGAACCTTGGATCAAAAGTCTTTGACTTGGTTTTGAGTTTTGGTCTGTAGTCATTTGCCATCTGTTACCACTTACTTTATTATTATTTTGTTTTCTTCTCTAGGTTTTCCTTCATCTGTTTAGAATCACATGAGTAATATATAAATATATTATTTTAGTAAAAGATTTCATTATCCTAGAAGTCTTCAGTAAAACAAATCTCTGCAATCTGCCTCCCCTTTGGCACCTCAATTATTATTTGATGTACACCCTTCTAAACCTTTCTGTACATGTTTGCTTTCACGTTTAATTTAAATTTTTGAATAAATCTCCCTGGTTCAAATATCAAAAACCATATTAAAAATCCTATGTGAAAATTCTCTTCTTCATCTCTGTTCTCCACTCACTAAATTCTCTGTTAATTTCTTGTTTACTTCAGGGAATCTTTATTGCCTGTACAATTCACTACAAATATATATTCATAGTTAGGTTCTAAATTGCTTCTTCTTGTTAACAGAAACTCTTGGGCCATTATTCCATATTGATATGGATTTGTTTTAACCATTTCACTTTTGATGGGGATTAAAGTTGTTTTAATGCTTTTCCATTACAGACTGCTACAACGAACATCTTAGGATGGCTGTTCTCAACCTGTGGGTTGAGACCCCTTTGAGAGTTGAATGACTCTTTCACTGGGGTCGCCTAAGACCATCCTGCATACCAGATATTTACATTACGATTTATAACAGTAGCAAAATTACAGTTATGAAGTAGCAACGAAAATAATTTTATGGTTGGGGGTTACCACAACATGAGAAACTGTATTAAAGATTCTCCGCATTAGGAAGGTTGAGAACCACTGTCTTGGGACAAACATGTTTGTCCATTTGTGCCAGTATTTCTTTAGGTATATTCTTAGAAGTGCAAGTTCTAGGTTAAGCATATGCGCATTTATGATGCAGGAACCTGCCAAATTGCCTTCTAGAAAGGATCTACCAATTTACACCACCACAGACAGTGGCTCAGTGTGCTTATATTTCATCATCTTTGCCAACACTAGATGCTATTGATCCTTTTTTATACTTTTGCTAATCTGATGAATAGAAAAGGATGTCTTCTTTTAATTTGCATTTCTCTGCTGATTAGTAAGACTGAGCATCTTTTCATATGCTTTTTTCTCCTGTGTGTTGCCTGTTCACATCTGGTGCCCATTTCTCTTTGGGGCAGTCATTTGCTGATGTCATCCATTCATAGTTGAAAAGAAGTCAATTGAAGGTCTGTTGTGTGCCAGGCACTGTTCTAGGCTCTTGGGAATACAGTAGTTAATGTCATACACTCCGTGCCCTCATGGGGCTCATATTCTAGAAGCAGAAATCCAAGGAAAAGCACATAAGTAAAGAGACAAAGTTGTCCGATGGTGGTAAGTGTGTTGGAACCAAAGGAAGCAGGAAAGAGGAATTCGTTGACTGTTAGGCTAGTTCCTTGCTCTAATATATATTAAATATTTTTTATAGTTTGTCATTTGCCTTCTAACTACATCTATGAAATTCTGGTCCATGCTGTAGTATTTTTACTTTTATGTGGTAAAATTTGTAAATCTTTCCCTTTATGGTTTTTATGCTTGGAAAGGTTTTCTCCATCCCAAGGTTATAAAAGTTTTTGCCCAGGTTTTCTTCTAGTGCCTTATGGATTTACTTATTCCATTTAAGTCTTTAATCCATCTGGAATTGTTTTCAGTGTAAAGAGCAAGGAAAGGATCCAGCTAAATTGGTTAGCCAGTTGGCCCCGTGACCATTCATTAAATAATCCTTCTTTTCCTTGGGGATTTGAAATGGCATCTATAAAATACACGATTTTTCCTGTGTGCTTGGATCTGGTTTTGCACTTTCTGTCTATCTCTATTGCACATCAACCATCCAGATCACTCTAGCTTTGTATTTATTTTTGACATCTGGAAAGGTTGGCTCTTTGGATAAATTACTTCTCTTGACCTCAGTTTCCTCCTCTGTAAAACAAGGATACAACTTTTAAGGGTCGATCTGAGAATCAATGGACCACTTTCGTTCTGGAGATCAGGTACACCTCCTTGAGAAGGTAATATTTGAAATGAAATCTGATTGACAAGGAAGAGCATGCCTGGCAGAGACAACAGCAAAGACAAAGGCTCCGAGACAGGGACTAGTGTATTGCAGGACCACTGGGAGGGCAGCGCTTCTGGAGGGGATTGAGCAAGGGGAGAATGGAATGGTGGGCCACGGTGAGAGGCTTGGCTGTCACCCTTGAGGGTACTGAAGAGCCACAGCAGGATCGGGAGGGAGGTGGGGCCCGCTGACCCTGCCCCTGTTCCCACAGTCGATGGAGTCACAGGTGGAGGAGTGGTACCGCGAGGTGGGAGAATTGCAAGCGCAGACGGCGGCGCTGCCGCTGGAACCCGCGAGCAAGGAGCTGGTGGGCGAGCGGCAGAACGCGGTGGGTGAGCGGCTGGTGCGCCTGCTCGAGCCGTTGCAGGAGCGCCGCCGCTTGCTGCTCGCCTCCAAGGAGTTGCACCAGGTGGCGCACGACCTAGACGACGAGCTGGTGAGGGCCTGCGCGGGGATATGGGGCCGGACCGGGTAATGAGAGAGGCGGGGCGTGAGGCCACGGGCGGGCCAGCTGGCAGGGGCAGGGGCAGGGGCAAGGCGGGGAAGGGTCAGGGTGGAGGGGGCTGATTCTCCTGCTGATACGTTGATGGACTCGGTCATTCGGTCCTTTACCCATTTAGTCATTCACTCTTTCACGTTCATTTCATTTACTCACTTTCAACCACTCATTGATTTATTCATTACTCACTTATTCATCTTTTCTCCTTCTGCTTGGTTACTTATCACTCATTTATTCACTCATTACTTGTCTGTTCATTTCCTCCTTCAGTCACCGATTTGCTCATTCATTCATTGATTCTCTCACTCTCTAATTTGCTCACTTGATCATTCTGGGCCCAGCCTTGGATAAGAGTTACAGGGGTAACTTAAGGCAGATCCCGTTGCTGTCCATACAGGACTCAAAGTCTGAGGAGGAAAACAGACTTGACCCCAGACAGTGATGACAGGGTGGTTAGGAAGGTGATGGAGGAGTTTAGAGAGTTGTGGGAACCCAGAGAAGGCAACTACAGGCCAAGGTTCAAAGTCAGGGAGAGGAGGCTGAAGATGTGACCAGGCTCTTCAGCGAGGAAGGGTCTTGGATCCTATGCAAAAGGCTGAATGTTCAGCAGGGTCCTTGGGTACATTCTTTCCTCACCTGCTCCCTGTGTCCTCTCCAGGCATGGGTTCAGGAGCGGCTGCCACTGGCCATGCAGACAGAGCGAGGCAGTGGTTTGCAGGCTGTCCAGCAGCACATCAAAAAGAACCAGGTGAGCAGAGCCAGGTGAGGGGTGGATTAGGACACATTTGGATAGAAGTGATAGAAAACAGCTCAAGGATTTTAAAGGCAGAAAAGAAAAAAAAAGTGAGTATTGGCTCTTGTAATTGAAAAGACTGGATGGCAGGTATAGGTGTATCCAGGTGCTTCCAGATATTTTCATGATTCTCTCTGGATGTTTTTTATTTCTATGTTAGCTTGTTCTCAGGCCAGCTCTTTTGCCCTAGTGATAAAAGGCACACAGGAGATTCAGTTTTACATCCCACCAGTAAAACTGAAAAGAATTTCTCCCTCTCAGTAATTTCAGCAGTACTGTATAATCCCAGGGATAATTCCCACTGGCTCAACCTGAGTCACATGCCCATCCCTGAATTAATCATAATCACCAGGGATTTTGTCTGGTCCTTAGCCTGGCCTGGGCTCAGGACCCTCTCCTGGAACCTGCCTTAATTACCTGAGCTGAGATGGAGGCAAAGGAGTCCCCTAAAGGAAAATCCTATGGGTCCTATGACCAGAAGTAAGGAGAATAGCTATGGGGCAAGGAACAAGTAAAACAACAAACAAAAAGGACAAAGACAATAAACAAGAGGGTGCTGACCCCCAAGCTGAGCAAGGTGGGGCAGGGGCTTTGAGTCCCTAAAGTCTCTGGATATCTGCTTATCCCTCTAGGCCTCAATTTCCACATCTAATTAAGTATAGAGTTGGTTTAGAGCAGTGATTCTCAAACTGTGTAGCAGAGAAACCCTTTGGTCAAAGCAACTCTTTCCCCAGAGCTCAAAGTAAGAAACCTAAGAGAGATACAGTAACACTAATGATCATCACGTATGGATTACAGACATCCTAAATACTGTTCTAGGGAGCTATGTTGATGATTTCATCCCCTGAATGGCCCTATAAAGTAGATACTGTCATTATCCTCATTCTACCAAAAATGTAAGTTGGGAGAATAGGACACTACAGGATGTTGGAGAGGTGGGGCCACAAATTAATTTGGAAAGTTTGTGATTGTGTTGTGCTAGATGGAGTTCTTTAGGAGACTGGAGCAGGGGTCCTCAAACTTCAAACTTTTAAAACAAGGGGCCAGTTCACTGTCCCTCAGACTGTTGGAGGGCCAGACTGCGGGCCCTGGGACGAGTTGGCTGCTAAGCAGGACAGGCAGTGGCAGCAAAAACACCCAGCGGGCCGGATAAATGTCCTAGGCAGGCTGCATGTGGCCTGCGGGCTGTAGTTTGAGGACGCCTGGACTGGAGTTTTTCTTAGATTTTATTTTTCTATTTGATGAACATACTCTTGGCTGTCAGCAGCATTGGGAACAAGCAGAACTGGCCCATCATTTTGGGTTGAAACCAATCAAGTGCACTTAATGCTCAAAATTGCAGATACTTGGCTGTGTGTGTGATAAGTGTGCTGGATACATGGGCTGTCAAGCAAATACCAACAGCTAATGGTGATTGCACATTTATTGCATGCCAGCCTCAGTTATAAGTGCTCCCGGTTTATTGCCTCATTACAGTGCTACAAAATAGATCTTTGCAGGTTACCACTAGCCATGTGACTTTGGCAAGTTCCTCCCCCTCTCTGTGCCTCAGTTTCCTCATCTGTAAACTGAGAATGATGCTGCTGTCTGGCCGATGGGGATATGTGTGGCTGCATTATATAAAGCCCTTAGTAAAGCATCTGGCAGGTAAGAGACACTCAAGAAGTGTTGGCTGTTATTATCTCCATTTGGCTATTGGGGAAACTGAGGCACACGAGAACTTAAATAAGGTACTCAGCAAGTACAGAGCTGGTTGAGGGAACTTTCTGGGGAGATGAAAGTGTTCCCTATGTTGGCCAGGCGGGGTGGCTCACGTGTAATCCTAGCACTCTGGGAAGCCAAGGCACATGGATCATTTGAGCTCAGGAGTTCAGGACCAGCTTGAGCAAGAGTGAGGAAAAAATAACAAACTAGTGGGCTGTGGTGGCAGGTGCCTGTAGTCCCAGCTACTGGGGAGTCTGAGGCAAGAGGATCAATTGCGTCCAGGAGTTTGAGGTTGCTGTGAACTATGATGCTACCAAACTCACCTCAGGGACAGAGTGAGACTGTCTCAAAAAAAGAAAGTGTTCTGTTCCATATCTTGATCTGGGTACACGGGTGTGACGTGTGTCAAAGTGTGTTTAGTCGTACCTATAAGATTTGTGCTCTTCACTGTATGTAAATACCTCTCCTGCTAAGCCGCCTGGTCCTCAGACCTTTGTTAGGTCCTATCTTGGATCAGCAAGCTGCTGTTTTTTGCGGAGCACAGTCTCTGGAGCCAGACTTACGTGGTCAAATCTTGTCACTTCTTACTAGCTGTTTGTTCTGAGACATTGTACTTGGCCCCCTGTGCCTGTTTTCACACCTGCAACTTGGGTGTATGAGTGAGCGAGTATCCGCAAAATGCTTACACGGTGTCTGGCACGTGGTGAGCGATACGGGAGTGCTTGTTGTCAGCTGCGGGGGCTGTGCCAGTCGCAGAGGGCCACATGGTTTTGCGGGGCCTCTGAACGCTCCTCTCACCCTCACCCGGTACCTCCCGCTCTCAGGGTCTGCGGCGGGAGATCCAGGCGCACGGGCGGCGCCTGGAGGAAGTGCTGGAGCGCGCAGCTGCCCTGGCTTCGCTGCGCAGCCCGGAGGCGGAGGCCGTGCGCTGCGGCCTGGACCAGCTGCAGAGCGCCTGGGCTGGCTTGCGGGACGCAGCTGAGCGGCGGCAGCAGGCACTAGACGCTGCCTTCCAAGTGGAGCAGTACTACTTCGATGTGGCCGAGGTGGAAGCGTGGCTGGGCGAGCAGGAGCTGCTCATGATGAGTGAGGACAAGGGCAAGGTGCGCCCGGGCTGGGGGTGAGGGGGGCCTGGGGACACTGGAGCCCAGGGCCGCCACTGCTGCCTCATCGTGGGCGCCGTGTGCCTGCAGGATGAACAGAGCACCCTGCAGCTGCTAAAGAAACACCTGCAGCTGGAGCAGGGCGTGGAGAACTACGAGGAAAGCATCGCGCAGCTGTCGCGCCAGTGCCGAGCGCTGCTGGAGATGGGACACCCAGACAGGTGGGCGGGCGGGACCACTTCCCAGGGAGTGGTCCTGTAGGACCTAAAGCTTCGCTGTTGGAAGGTGGGGCAGGGCCAGAATTGGACACTGGGATGGGAAAGATCCTCCTTGCTTGGTGCGGGAGCCCCTCGGATTTTGGCAAGAGGGCGGGGCTGGAGTGAGGTGGGTGGGGAAGGGGTGGGCACAGCCCAGGGATGGTTGAGAGGGTGGGGCCAGGAGCACTGGGCCTTGAATGTGGTGAGGCCTCGTTGTAGGAGAAAGGGGGAAGTAATCAGAGAAGTCATCACTCCAGATAGACATAGATCCTCCTCCTACCCACTGTCTGGGTAGTGTCTGGGAGGAGGGAAGAGCCTGTACTGCTGAGATTCGATATGGAGGCAGGGCCTCAGGTCTCATGGTACAGTGGGGGTGGTGTTGCCTCACTGAGCACCCAGAACTGGCCCAGGGCTCGGATCTGAGAGTGGATATGGAAGAGACCTCTGATTTAGCAGGAGATTGGGACTGGGGGTACATTGGCTAGAGATCCAAAGGGGAAGTCTGGAGCCCCCCACAGCTCACCGGATGAGAGAGGAGTGGGGCTGTAAATACAAACTCAGTCAGGCTGGGGTAGGGGTGAACTCATCAAGCTAAAAAAGCAGAGCTTGCCCTGGGTGCCAAGATACAAGTCTGGCTGAATCAAGACTTGCAGAAAATAGAATCCACCAGGAGGAATGTGAGAGGACTTTGACCCTACCTGAAGATACAGAGAAAACACAGCCCTGCTCTGAGAGGGAGGAGATAGGGGCTCCAAACTCTGCCCCAGAAGTCTCAGGGGGCTCCATCTCTGCCCCTCCCTGTCACCCATCAGCGAGCAGATCAGCCGGCGGCAGTCTCAGGTGGACCGCCTGTATGTGGCGCTCAAGGAGCTGGGTGAGGAGCGCAGGGTGGGCCTGGAGCAGCAGTACTGGCTGTACCAGCTCAGCCGCCAGGTGGACGAGCTGGAGCACTGGATCGCAGAGAAGGAGGTGGTGGCTGGTTCACCTGAGCTTGGCCAGGACTTCGAGCATGTCTCGGTGAGCATCATTAGTAACAGTGATACCAGGGGCCATGAGTATGGTGCCAAGGTTCTCTGAGCCTCAGTTGCCCCATCTATAGTACAAGGGTAATAATAGCACCACCTCACGGCTCCACTGTAACTTACTATAATGTAAAGCACTTAGGAGTGTGCTTTTCACACACAGTGCCCAATACAACATTAACTTGTATTATCATCTTATTTTATCATTGCGATTACTATTATTGATACAGAGTAGGTATTCAGTAAGTGTTAGATATTATTTTTTAATATTAATTTTTATTTATTTATTTATTTCGAGACAGAGTCTCACTCTGTCACCCTGGTTAGAGTGCCGTGGTGTCATCATTGCTCACAACAACCTCAAACTCTTGGATTCAATCAATCCTCTTGCCTCAGCCTCCTGAGCATCTGGGACTACAGGCACCCAACATGACACCTGGCTAGTTTTTATATTTTTAGTAGAGTTGGGGTCTCACTCTTGCTCTGGCTGGTTTCAAACTCTTGAGCTCAAGCAGTCTCCCTACCTTGAGTGCTGGGATTACAGGTGAATCCCACTGAAGCTGGCCTGATATTTTTTATGATGTTGATGATCACAATGATATGTTGGAAGGGTCTAGTGTATTCAGCCCCTTTGCCCACTTTGTTGTTTCCTCCACTTCCCGGTGGCAGGTGCTGCAGGAGAAATTCTCAGAGTTTGCCAATGAGACTGGCACAGCAGGGCGGGAGCGGCTGGCAGCTGTGAACCAGATGGTGGATGAGCTGATCGAGTGCGGCCATACAGCAGCAGCCACCATGGCTGAGTGGAAAGATGGGCTGAATGAGGCCTGGGCTGAGCTGCTGGAGCTCATGGGTACACGGGCCCAGCTGCTGGCTGCCTCTCGGGAGCTGCATAAGTTCTTCAGTGATGCCCGAGAGCTTCAGGGACAGATCGAGGAGAAACGGAGGCGGTTGCCCCGCCTGACTGCCCCACCGGAGCCAAGACCCAGTGCCAGCTCCATGCAGAGAGCCCTGAGAGCCTTTGAGCATGACCTGCAGCTCCTTGTGTCCCAGGTGGGGTGCTAGTGGCTGTTGGGGCAGGTGGGAGGGCCTGGATATCTGTGGACAGCAGAGCAGAAAGAAATCAGGCTGTGGAGCAGTCAAAATTAAGATCAGGAAGGATTAGTAACATCCAGACAGAAGAGGGACCAATTGCATGGTATGCAGAAATCAGGTAGTGGCAGAAAAGAGTGGTGTAGTAGGTCTGCTAAAAATTAAACAGCATTTCCAGTAGAGATTGGGCAGTTGTTCTCCAGAAACCAGGAGGTAAAGTTTGTCTAAATCCAGATGGTCTAAAGGGAATTGCAAGAGGGCTAAGAGAAATTGGACTGTAGTGCAGATGGAAATTAGAAAGCAGGTCTCTGGCTCGG